GAAAAACACGTCTTCTTTGCAAAAGAGTTTCATCTTATAAGCGGGCCGTTGCAATCTAACTCGAAACTAATAAACATAATACTCAATGAAACGCTGATCATTATCAAAACATCAGACCAACTCCGTGAGCTTTTTGCAGATTTATGTCCTAATAATAAAAAAGTTGTTTAACAAACTATCATTAAAATATTGACACAGTCCACTATTTGTTACGAGGGAGGAGTGCAGAGAAAGGGACAGCCAGGTGTACGAGAAGCACGAGCACAAGTGCCGACAAAATTATTGATTCATTTTCCTGTGCCTCCATCTTTTCTCGCACACCTGGCTGTTCCTCTCTTTGCACTCCTCCCTCGTAACAAATAGTGAACTGTGTAAATATTTTAATGACAGATGGAAAGACAGATAAAGAATCGTCCTACACCAACGCCTAGTCTCTGAAAATATGTAATTTTGACAGAAACAAAGAACAAGAAAGGAGCCACAGTATGGTGCGAGATTCAAAACCCGTGGAAAATCTAGACTTACTTAATTTAGGGCATTTGCATTACAGTAAGAGTTGGGTGGAAAGGGAAATAATATGGTTCAGGGACTGTGAGACAGTCTAAAATTACCATTGCGCTGACTGTAAGAGCGCATGTGCGAAACCAGTACGAATATTTTTGAGGGCACCTTTAACCATTGCGGCTGTGATTGTGCTCAGTGAGTGAGTGAATATCGTTTTAGGCCGGTTGTAGCAATATTCCAGCAATACCACCGCATGGGACACCAGACATGGGCTTCACACGTTGCGGCGAATCGAACCCGGGTCTTCGGCGTGACGAGCAAACGCTTTAACCACTAGGCTTCTCCACTGTCCCTGATTCCGCTGAACAGAGTGCAATCAGGGCCTGGTTTATCGTGTGTTGTTCTTGTCCCAAATAGTTGTTTGCTGTGTGTTCATGCTATCAACCCTTAGTTATTTTCAGACTTATCCAGCTGTGGCATATAATATCGTTATGTGCTCATAAAATCAATTATCCACTTCCCTCGCGAGCCAGTGCTCATACTGTCAATCACTCGTTGTCTAGACCCAAATATTTTCAGACCATGGCGATAATTTGAATCTTATGGGAAACTTTGGCTCATTTTGGCGTCATAAAGATGGATGTTTTTCACTGCGGCATACAACAATATTCACTTTCCCATTCAGGCTCGGATGTTACTGACTACTGCACACGGAAAGCCTGCATTTATACAGAAGACTGGTGTGATCTTGAGTGTCAGGGGTCGATGTCCGACTATCGACCACTATTTTAGATAATATCTTTTACAGGCATGAAAACTATTTGGAAGCCTATAATAAAGGCGCTATTTCACTGCGCAAGTGCCATTAACTCGCTCACAAATACCCATCTTGCCAGTCGTAAATGCGCTCGCTCTACTAGGCTGGGTTTTCTGAATTAAACCTAATTCCCAGATGACATCCTCGCCGCGAATTGCTGAAAAACTGCCGACGCGGAGTAAGTAATATTTACTCACTCACTCACTCAGAATACATCGTGAACGGGGGCGGTGAGGTAGCCTAATTGTTAAAGCGTTGGCTCGTCACGCCAAAGACCCGGGTTCGATTCCCCACATGGGCACAATGTGTGAAGCCCATTTCTGGTGTGCCCCGTCGTGATATTGCTGGAATATTGCTAAAAGTGGCGTAAACCCACACTCACTCACTAACATTGTGAACGGTATGCGGAGTTTAGGAATTGTCACTTGCATTATTATGTTTTGTCAACACCACTTTAACGAACCACCTTTTCATGAAGTATAATATCTTTCCAGTTTTGTTTCCTTTTTTCAACTGGGGCGGTAGGGTAGCCTTGTGGTGAAAGCGTTGGCTCGTCACGTAGAAGGCTCCACACGGGCACCTTGTGTGAAGGTCATTTCTGGTGTCCCCCGCCGTGATATTGTTGCAATATTGCTAACAGCGGCGTAAACCCCAACTCACTCACTCACTTTTTCAACTTGAGTAACGTATGTGTGTTACACATGTCCACCGTTGTGGTTAAACCGTTCGTTTATTACGCCAAATTCCGAGTTCGATTCCCAGCATCGTTAAACCATTTCTGTTGTCTAATCCCGACGGTGTGATACTGCTGGGATATTTCTGAAAACGGCGTTAAACACATTCACTCACTGAAATGTGTTATGCATTGTCGACACTTCTCGCCTACAGGGGTCTGACTCAGTGGGTCGGTTGAGCAGCCTCGATGGTTTGGTTGGCTGCGTGATATCACAGCCAGACTGCATGGACTGTTGACCATAATATCAATCACTATTACTGTTTTGCCTCGTCACACAACTGGACTTTGAGTACATCGATAGTCATGATTGTCCGTGGAAGTGTCTACGCATCGAGACTGCGCTATCCCAGCGTCGGGCAGCGGGGTAGCCTAGTGGTTAAAGCGTTCGCTTGTCACGCCGAAGACCCGGGTTCGATTCCCCACATGGATACAATGTGTGAAGCCCATTTCTGGTGTGCCCCGTCGTGATATTGCTGGAGTAATACTAAAAGCAGCGTAAAACCAAACTCCCTCACTATCCTTGCGTCGCGGTTTTAATAACGTAAAAGTGTATAAAAACGGTCTCATTGAGTGCGGCGTAAAACAACAAACTGTATCCAAACCGACCACAACTACACCGACACAACAATTAACAACCTGTCAAACACAAAACGATTTTGAGTATGATGCTGCTTTCAAAGACATGGTCGTTCTACGAAAAATTGTTTCGAAACTCACGGGAACGTGTGTTGATTGTACGAATGCTTCACTATACGGAAGCACCCTCAGGTCTCTTTGTTTGCACTGTTTTACAAACGAATGAGCTAGTTTTAGCTTGTCATCGCTTTAAACTGTTTGTCTTTTACATCATGGCGTTGAAATATATGTGGTAGACTAAGCCCGAAGTGCACCGGAATGATTTCCAAGACTTATGTGTATTCATGTTCTGTGGACCTGCCAAGATCCGGGTTAGAATTGGTCTTCTGCAACCCATCCTTGTCGTACGATGCGACTCAAGGGATCGAACAGATTGAGTTATTTTGAGCTTCATCACTCACATGGGCGGTGGGGTAGCCTAATGGTTAAAGCGTTCGCTCGTCACGCTGCTGACCCAGGTTCGATTCCCCACATGGGTACAATGTGTGAAGCCCATGTCTGGTGTTCCCCGCCGTGATATTGGTGGAATATTACTAAAAGCGGCGTATAATAATCTCACTCACTCATCCCTCACATGGAATACATAGATTCTATGCAGAGGGTTGGGTACATTTGACTAACTTAACTTGTACACATCTTCATTTCCCGACCAAAGGGTGGGGGTGTTGGGTAAAGCGTTCGCCTATCAATCCGAAAACCTGGGTTCGATTTCCTTCATGGGTACAAATGTACATAGCGTGAATCTCTTTTCGCTCGTCACGCCAAAGACCCGGGGTTCGATTCCCCACATGGGTACAATGTGTGAAACCCATTTCTGGTGTTCCCCGCCATGATATTGGTGGAATATTGCTAAAAGCGGCGAAAAACCATATTCACGCTCACTCTGGTGTCCCCTGATATTTCTAAATGCGGTGTACAATCAACTTACCCACATTAAATTAGCCAAATTGTGTGCGTAATATTGGACTGGGTTATATATCGTAATCTGTGGGGTCAAGGAGAAAGAAGCGTTGTAAAATAGCTGTTGGGATTCAACTTCAACTGATTTACAAGACTGTCATTCAACAATGGCTTGACAAAGCACTTGACTCTGATTTGAGTGAGTGAGTACTGTTTTACGCCGCTTTTAGCAATATCCCAGCAATATCACGGCGGGGGACACCAGAAATGGGCTTCACACATTGTACCCATGTGGGGAATCGAACCCGGGTCTTCGGCGTGACGAGCGAACGCTTTAACCATTAGGCTACCCCACCACCCTGACTCTGATTTGAACACCAAGGTATACTGCCTATGTAGTCAAAAGTTTGACACCTCTTGATCAATAACAAGTATTAATATTTAGCTCATACTTTCTGGACCCTCCAGTAGCTTCTCTCAGGAAGTCCAGTTCTTCGATGACAGCAAGTAAGTCCTCGGTCTCGACCAGACAATCCAGTCATTGATATTGCATGCAGCGAACCACACATATAACCATGATGACAGTAGCAGTAAGGTGAATCAACCAAGTTACAGAGCCTGTCCGCTATCAGTCTTCTGGGTAATGACCCAGAATCCCTATCGATGGGTGCCCCAGAATCCCTATGGGTGAGTGAGTGAGTGAGTGGGTGGGTGAGTGAGTGAAGATTTTAAGTCACATCGGCAATATTTCAGCCATATCGTGACTAAAACAAATCATAGATTTATAATGATTAAAATAAATTATAACACCTGTCAACGAAGGACTGTAAAACAACCAGCTTATCACAGATACATATTTAAAGCTAGTAATTAAATCTAAAACAGTTTAACTTTAGAGGACGACACAACTTAAGAACAGGCTATTGATCGCCAACAACTGAAGGTAGATCACCACACTAGGGACAGTGGGGAATTACAGTACCTTTTCTACCTGCATGGACCCTATTTTGATTTATACCATCCCTTCAATCCCTGGTGATAGTAGGAAGTTTTAGCCCAAATTAAAAGCACAAAAATACAGGGTAAATTGATTTTGTAGAATCCCTATGGACCCTGTATCATGTAACACCATACAACACCATAATCAGAGACTATATAGCTGTATACAAATAGTGTTTGTCTATTCACTGAATATTCAAGACAGTGTATCTAGTACCCTTTGAGGTCTTGTTTTAATACAACAAAGTTCTATTCATCTATTGACATTTACACAACTTCTAAATATGGTTTGGTTTACTTTTCATTTTCCTTGATCAGGGAAATGTATATTTACTATTTTATACATAAGTGTCATGTTTACGTGACAATAATTGAGAAACTACAGTCCATAAACAATATATATATATATACGATAGAATAAAGTTTATTGATTCATATTTCACACATACAATGAGGGTAACAACACAGGGTTACAAACGTTGGACAATGGAACAGTTCAGGCATGCTGACTACTCTCTATTATGACATAAAAACGTACCAACTGATCACATTTTAATATACAATAGCAACCATTCGCTTCAATAAGAATTTATAATTCAGTCATCTTTTGTTAGAGAATGATACTTCAGATATCCCCCCAAACTTATGCAACCAAAAATGTCTGCTTAACAAGAGTTAGTTATTTCCTAACACTGCAGCCCTAACAAAGCTGTTGTACCATTTTGTGCTAGAACTCAATAACACATTAGTGAAGGTAACCATGGTAAATAACATTGCAATAATACAATATATATAATTTCTACATATATAGTAAGCAACAAATTTGGATCACAAAAATAATCACAACAGGCTGTCACATCTAGATACAAAAAAACTTTTAAAAAAACATAAAAAAATTCAATTCTGATGCAGATTACAGCAAACAGATGTAAAAATTGAAATAACAGATTTGGAAAAAACCCAGTCATTAACGCCATCAAAAGCAGGAAGGGTGAACTAACACTGAGTACTTAAGAACAACTGCGTGGAATGAAAATATTTGTTTAATAACATACAGGATCACCCGAATATATAACCAAATTATAGATAGGTAACTTGAGTAGGACTAATTTCTTTGACATACACTGAGTGTTCACATAAAAACTACCTAAGGTGTACAACGTTAACAGCAAATACTGATCACTGATCTGTGCACATTGTTATTTTCCAGCTTCCAAATGAAATTACGTTGATAAAAACATTCAGATTTCCATGAAGAAGATGGGGTTAAATTATTGCAACAACGTTTACATGGATGAAGAACTCCATTACCCTTTGACAAGATGATGTAAAGACACAAGTGGGCTGGACAAGAGTTGCCTTAGTGGGTTCACAAAAAATAATAGCAGAGTCCAGTGAATCAATCCGAATGCAATCAGTGCAATATACAAGGACAAGCCAAAATCTACTGTAAGAGTGGTTGTTAAATGTACATTCAGTATTTGAAGGAATGCTTTATCAAATGAAGATTACATGAATCCAGAAGCTACTGAGTAAATGCTACAAATAATTCAAAGGCACACTTCTGATGGTGGTTTGTCTCAAACACTTTCAGTCTAATCACTCATCATCATGCATATTTCTGTTGGAACTGGCTTATTCAGTGTACATAAATGAGTTATCTTTTGACATGTACCTTCAAATACTGTTCCTGATAATATTTCTCTGATAAATATTGATTTTTCCTTTGATATTTTCGTCAAAAAACTATATTGTACACTACTAAAGAGAAAAGAATAAAAAACAAATAGGCGTGTCCTTTCAAGAGCTTCCACATAAAACATGTAAGATGTGCTTCTTTCTCTTCGGCCACCGAAACTAGTTTCTCTCCTTCTTCTTGTTTCCTTCCTGAAATCAAAGACACAATGATTAGTTGTTAGTTATTTGAAAACAGTTGTCATTCAACAAAAACGTAAGAATAACTTCCGTGTCCTATCACAGCTGAAAGCTACGCACTGTTGTCTGTTATTTTCCAAATTCAAACAATCCTTATCAAAACTGTAAACTTCTTATCATTTGTAGTGAGTGAGAGTTATGTAGCACACAATATTCCACCTATATCCCAGTAGTCCGCAACTAACCCAATCTGAGCCAGGAGTGAGTCACTGAAAGCCACCCCATGTAGACCTATTCCTGTTATTCCACCATGAGGTGTTTGGATCAACTCAAGACCTGGGTCCCAACCTGAACATTACATCATGATGCAGTTAGTGGTGGTTTGTAGTTTAACGCCTCACTCAATATTCCAATGATAAAAGATGTCTGCATGTCAATGACGGAGTCAGATGATAAAGCAATAAATACTGTGAGCAAATGAGTAATTTTGGTCCAAGGACTACATGCAATCAGCCAAATCACCACATCAGACTACCAAGGTGGGTGGGGACCTAGTTCATCCTGGATCCCACAAGGTCCATGAGTGAGTGAGTTTGGGGTTTACGCCGCTTTTAGCAATATTCCAGCAATATCACAGCGGGGGACACCAGAAATGCGCTTCACACATTGTACCCATTTGGGGAATCGAACCCGGGTCTTTGGCGTGACGAGCAAATGTTTTAACCACTAGGCTACCCCGACGCCCCCAACAAACATGAAGTAGTGTGCAGTTGTGTAACGATCCCTTAGTTATAATCAGGCATTATTTCAGTAGTCTAGGTGAGAACTGGATCTGTCTGTAAGAAGGTGCACTATTCTACTGAACTGGGTTGCAACAGATACAGGGATGAGAATTGGCATGAGTGGAAAAAAAGAGGAAAATGGGCCAGGTGTCTTTCTCATCGGATTTAGATGATTCTCAACAATGACCCCAGAGTGATCAAATCTGCAGAATTCTGCAGATACGCAGAAAATTCTCGTCCCTGTAGATATCATCAATTAGTCCTTGTGACCACCCGATACTCATTTCTGTCCTTTCTTACAACAAACATAGAGTATTGAGACCTAATGTTCCACAGAATCCCAAATGACCACAGAAAGTGTCGGAGTCGTGTCTTAACGCTGCTTTGAAGAGTATTCACTGCATGTCAGCTTAACTTGTGAGGAAGCCAAACGTGATGCAGGTCTTGGAAAAATACAACTTTGGTGAAACCCAAAAGCAAGGGAAGGTTGCTGTCAAACCAAGTAACATCATTGGGCGAACAAGGATTTAAACCCAAGGTCAAAGGGGATGCAACTCTGTACAGCTAATCACATATCCTAGGACAACTTAGCCATCCAAGCCCCCGTGAAAAGAGGTTTGGTGGCTGTTGATTTGGGTTCCTGTAAATGTCTGCTCACCTTTTTGGAGAGGATGATAAGGAGCCTGCGGAAAACCTGGATGAAGTCCAAGAACAGATCAACACTGTGCCTGCAATGATACAATTGTAAGGATGAACATGAGATATACCTACTGTGACATGTTGTCATATAATAGTAACGTCAATTAAAGTACAGGTCTAACACCAATTGTGAGGGGTAAAACCAGAAAACTACAGCTAGCTTAATGAAACTAAAAATCTTCTAATCAAACCTTTTGCACAAAGTCCTTGAATCCTGGATACTTACCAGATGTAGTCATCGTCTCCACGGCGACGCTTCTCAATGATGAGTTGTGTGTCGTACAGGATGAAGGCACAGAAGATGGCCAGGCCAAAGTACAGATTTACCTGCAGACAGACAGTGACAAGATACATAATAATGTATGGCTTAATCAAGCTTTTATAAGTCAATTTTTTATTGAAGAGATGAAGAAAATTAATCACATTTTGTAAATTCAATAATATTTTGTATATTTGAAACAAATTAATTCGCATTCACTTCTCCCACAGCAGGAAATACATAATCTGGAGAGTGATATTTTGAACCTCAAAGAAATTATCAAAAGGCCAACAAGACATATTGAAAACCTGAAATGACATTTGTACATTCCTACAGTATTTCCATGTATATTTTACAGGAGCTTCTCCCACCTACCTCATACAGCATGGTGGAGCCAAAGAAGATGTTAGCAAACCCAAGCATCAACATCCAGGACAGGGCCGACATTAGGAATCCTGGAACACCATGGATATTAATTGATTACATCATTGAAAAGTATTGACATTGATTAAGACTGTATGATTAACTACAGCCAGTCGATGCTATCCCCTCTAACATGGACAAGTCCGTTTCATTACCAGGATTACCATAAAGATCAGTTCCTGTCATATATGATTGGTTAAGAAAAATTTAGATGCACATACTTGGGTCCCCATTTCACAAAGTGGATGCAGTGCTGAGTCTGTAATTTGCTTTGTGGAATGAGGGAAGTATTGAGCGAGTGAGAGAGTTTAGTTTTATGCTACACTCAGCCATATAGCAGTACATGGCGGCGGTCTGGAAATAATTGAGTCTGGACCAGACAATCCAGTGATCAACAGTATAAGCAATCAACAGTATCTATGCAATTAGGATACGATGACATGTGTTAACCACCCAATCCCGTTAGTCACCTCTTATGACAAGCATGGGTTACTGAAGATCAATTCCAACCCAGAGCTTCACGAGTCGGGAAGTATTGAAACCACTGAGTCATGGAATCAGTGTCACTCAAAGTGGAGAGTCATTAGGTAGTAAAGCCAGGGTTCTTTTGAGTTCTGAAGCATCGCATATTGTTTTAACTTCCATTACTCATTTCAGAAAATAGTGTGATTTGAGCACCCACCTCCCATGTAGAGGAATGTCCTGTCCCGGGCATTGTAGAGAGAGGCCAGAGTGAAACTGATGAAGACCACGAACGTTCCCATCAGAGCAGTTGGTATAATGCTGAGGGCGGGAAAAGACATATCTGTCAACATCTTGTACTGGATTACAAGGTTTGAGCAAAGTGGAATTTACTTGATTCATTTCACAGGCCCACTTGAGGGTTTGATATGTAACAGCAGGTAGATAGTTCACAGGTATAGTTGTACATGCTTTATTATCTAATGTATTGGAAATTAGTCATATCTTTCAACCTTGACCAAGCCAGACTGTAAACAAAACAGTATTGGAAATTTTAATATAAATTGTATATTTATACTCTTATGCTATCTCACGATTTGCACTTCTCTCTCTTGCTTCGACGCTGAGTGGAACGAATGAGAACTTTTTCTATAGGCCTAGCTTGTCCATACGCCCATGTTCCCCAGGCTGCTCTCCTTATAGGACAGGTCCCTAGTCCCCGGCTAAGCGTGCAGCACGCTCCCCTGTCTACCCACGTGACTACCTTAAGAGTCATCATTTTCTTCTTGGAGCCAATGACAGTTATACGTAACCGGCGTAATCTGAGTAGAGGGGAGGCTGGGTAGGCATCCATCTCGTGAGATAGGATAAGTATATAAATATACAATTTATATTAAAATTTCCAAATTTTTAAACTTATCCTATCTCACGATTTGCACTTATCCCATGGTTGGGCGGCGGGGGTCACAGATTACCCTAAGTCAAAAGGCACCGACAGTATATACTGTATAGGCTAATGACAACCGTAGATAGCAATGAACAAGGGAGGCGGGATCTGACTAGCATAGTAATACTCTAATAGTGATGGGTTCTCCTGAACACCTTGGCTTACTAGGCATCATCGCTCCCATAGAATGGGTGCTCCTGAGCAATGTGGTGTTCGGCCCCAGGATCCGACTAGCATAGTGCCTATACTAGTGATGTAGTGATGGGTTCTCCTGAACCTCTTGGCTTACTAGGCACCATCGCTCCCATAGAGTGGGTGCTCCTGAGCAATGTGGTGTTCAGCAGCAACCCTCGCATATGCAAAAAAAGGCAACTAGGCAAGTCACCCTGCTTCGCCACGATTTATCAGAGTACCCCCATAATTACGACTAGTAATCGGGCCCGCACCTCCTTCGAGACAGCGCCCCAGACCCCATCACGAAGAGGGGAAAAGGAAACTGAATCGGAAAACTCACAAGTTTAACGTTCAGTACCAAAACAACATAACATGACTTCCACTACTTACCACAGTTAGGTCACAACTGTGTGCTAAAGTACTTAGGAGCTTGAACACTACGAAATCCATAAGGAAATCGGGAAGGACTCACTACACGGACGTGATTGCTCCGTGGAGTAGAGGTCAGCAAGCGAGATTGTCGAACACTTCTACATCCGTAGGGAGCAACGACAAGGTAGGCCCATAACTACCAAGGTCACTACGTGCGATGGTTAGTTCGAACCCATTGACTTACTAAGCACAATTGTTCCCAGGGACCGGGACTCCCAAGCAATGTGGTGTTCAGTCACTACCTTCACGAAAGTGAAAGGATGCAGCTTAGCGAGTGTAATCAGCTGCATTATCACGATTTCGAAGGTACCCCCGTAATAAAAGTCTAATGACTAGTATTGGGCCAGCCCTTGCTTCGAAACAACCCCAACCCCCTCCCGAGGAGGGTGAAAGGGTAATTGAATCGGAAAACTCACAATTTTAACATTCAGTACCACAACATCATCTTATGACTTCCACTACTTACCACAGTAAGATCACATAGATGTGTATAGGTACTTAGGAGCATCAACGCTACGAAGTGTAACACTTCATGAACGCTATGCAGTGTAACACTTCGGGAATGACTAACTTCACTGATGTAATTACTCCACAGAGCAGACGACAGTCAGTGAGGTGGCGACTCTCCAGAGTCTCAAATTAAATTGAGAGGAGAAATCGAAGTCCCAGAAGAATCGAAGACACAAATCAGAAATAAAATTCAGAATCTTATTCAGATTGTACACAAAGCAGAAACGATCGCAACTGGTGATCATCTGCGCTGAAGCTGATGGTTGTCCCGAGTGGGGAACAGGTCTACCTCTGGTCGTGATAACAGGTAGATCTTCGATTGGAATATCAGAGGCAGTTGTTTCCACTCCGTGAGTGATGGGCGTTTGAGACGTGACAGGACCCTCCACTGGTATCAATGACACCCCTTGAAAGTAAATCGAAGATACTTCCGATAGTCTGGATGTATCGGGGTGTGAAGGTAGGCGTCTCGCAGGTCGAGGGAAATAAGAGGTCTAACAACTCTTGCCTCTGACAAAGAGATATCTCCCGAGATAAGAACGTTTAATAAGTCAAGCTACTATGTCAGTTTTAACGGAGTGCTATGTTCGGCGCATGGAGATTGTCAGTCAATCTACAAGAACGTTCACATTGTAAACGAATTGAAGAAATTTCATACGATCGGCAACCTCAGGAACGTTTCGGTTGGCTGAACAAAATGATGGTTAGCCAGGTGGAGTGATAAAGGTAGTAGATCGCTGCCTGGTGACAGTGAATGCATAACTGCAGTGACCTCTGAACTCAGTGCTTGAGCTAGTGTAGAAAACCGATTAACCCCATCTAAAGTCAAACCGTTCATGGGTGTTTCTGTCTGCCACCCTCTATAAGCAGTCTCTCTCGACTGGCTGTCGAAATCCCGACACAATCACTCTTACCGGGAATGGCACCATTCATTGTTACTAGCATTCAAAGGCTGGACTTGATATCCGATTCGTGGGACCAAGACAAGTCTGCAAGCGCACTTCATAGTCACTCTAAATTATCATCAAAATTCCGGTAAACAAACAGTAGTCCGCCATTTGCAAACGTTACACACGAGTGACAAAAAAACGGACAACACGGTCTTTGGTTAACCGGGCGAGTTGCAACCCATAAATTCCGGGCCGAGCTATGCTGGCTATTTGACAAAACATCACTGCTGGTACCATGCGCAAAAACTTGACCCATCTGTTATCTGTCCAGAAACTTGCTTATCGTGTAAAACAAAGGGAGCTGATGATGACAAACCATCTGCAATAATTGCACCCAGCGATACACAAACACACTGTTACGAGTAGTAACAAGACTCCGTGAAGCGTGGTAAAGTATTCCAGGCTAGCGAGCCTTATCTAGTAATGCCCTATCGTGTGGTTGTAGAACTGATATCTACACCGAAGGGTAGATTCGTTGAACCGAATCATTCATCAAAGGTGAAGATCGGATGGTAGATTAAGTCTGGAATGAGATGAGCCCCAGTCACGGAGCACTCTGGAGAACTGGGATCGTCAGACCGTCAAGTGCCGAGCGTGATATGTCTAGATGACTGCGCTACTGACATCACATGTAAATTGATTCGGCATGGTGAAGCACATAGCTACTACCTCTGTTCAACCAGCTGAAAAAGGGGTACAAGGTGGGATAAGTTATGTGACTAAAAACATTAAGCGCCTCACAAGCCGTAAGGTAAACCGGATAAACAAATCAAATTGTCGTGCTTAGAGCTTGCCACTTCGTAATGAGGAATTCAGCGCCTCACAGATGCCCTGAAAACTAGGATCGTGTTGAAAACTAGCAGAGTTCGACAAATTTTGCCCTATCTAAATGCAAGTTCACGTACCTCCATGAGGATATGGAAAACCAGTGTTGACAAGTCCAGATCCTTCATGTTGAATGAAATCAATAGAACATCTGGTATCTTTCTCTAGGTAGCTGTAGGTGGTCGGTGAACCATGCGATCATGTGTGTCGAATCAACCAAAACAATTCCTGCATCTTATAGGCGACTGGCATAGCCCGAACCATGAAAACAAAGACGAGGTTCGATGTGGGTTAAGTGTCTTGGGAGGCATCCCAGACACATTTGGCATAGGCTCTGATAGGCTGGTAAGATGCGCCGTGTTGGAAATAACACGAGTGGTGAATCGCCCAATTCGGGAATAAGTTCAATTGCTGGCAAGGTCTGAGGAATGGATTATTGATGAATGCTGACAGTTTGATGAATGCTGACAATTCAGTGATCTTGAATGGTCAGGTGAACTGGTTCGGCGATAGGAAGCGGTTCGGGCCTGGTGAAACAGTACGAGTCGGGCTGGTAAATCGGTTCAGGGTGGTGAGCCGGAACGTTGATGTGATATGAATCAGTCCGTGATCTGGATCGGCGTTGTGAGCTGGATCGTGACTGTGATCTGGATCGGTTCGGTAATCCTGATATATTCTACCCATGATATATTTCTCATGTTAACTTGTAATGAAAGCTGAGAACTCTCACAATACGTCCACACAGTGGTGCGACAAGAAGAATGATCACTCTGAGGTAGTCACGTGGGTAGACAGGGGAACGTGCTGCACGCTTAGTCAGGGACTAGGGACCTGTCCTATAAGGAGAGCAGCCTGGGGAACATGGACGGATGGACAAGAGAGGCCTACAGGAAAAGTTCTCATTCGTTCCACTCAGCGTCGAAGCAAGAGAGAGAGAAGTGCAAATCGTGAGAAAGGATAAGTTTAAAAATTATATATATTTTCTTCCAGTTACACTGTCTTCATTCTACACAGGCCAACAAATGTTTCATAACAGAACCTATTCTTAATTTCATTACCATTATGGTTCCCGATACCAGTGACTTGGCAAGCATGCTTGATTGTTGTTTAACGCTGTAGTCAGCAATATTCAACTACTTGACATCGAGCAAGTCGAGATTGGATCACAACAGTGATGGGCTCACTATCGTGTATGACAGACAGAAGGAAGGGAGAGGTGCAGTAAGCCAATGACATTTACATTATCTCATTCAGCACAGCCATGGCTGACTTACCTTGGGTCCAGTGAAATGACCATGTCAAGAAGGGGACCCAGGGACATACCTGCAAACAACAACGTAAAATAACACCTGAAGTTTAAAGTGAGTGAGTGAGTGAGTGAGTGAGTGAGTGAGTGAGTGAGTGAGTGAGTGAGTGAGTGAGTGAGTGAGTGAGTTTATTTTTACGCCACACTCAGCAATATTCCAGCTATATGGTGGTGGTAAGGGAGTATAAGGACCAGAAGATCAGCAAATCTGACCACCCGATCCCGTTAGTCGCTTCTTATGACAAGCATGGGTTACTGAAGATCAATTCTAACCCGGATCTTCATGGGTTAAAGTTTAAAGACATGTATCAGTTCATCAGCTTTTAGCTCTATTTATCTGCTCCTAAATCCCCTAATCAATGCAAAAGTGGAAATGAGTTCAGCATAATATGTTTCCGTAGTTTCAGTCACGGGTTGTCAGCTTTAATGCAGAAGGTAAGCCCGAGGTGATGCAGGACTTAGATGCTTAGAATTTTGGAGATACCCAAGAGCACTGCTTACAATATATTGCTGACAAGTCTAGAAACAATATCTACAGAATGAACAATGTTTGGCAAACAAGGATTGGTAAACAGTCAAATTGTCCATACTGATGAGAGCAAATGATAGAGAGAGCGAGTTAAAATTGATCGTCACAAAAGCAATATTTCAGCCATATTGTGATGTCCAAATTGTGGGAGCTAAAGCAAAGGGATTGAAATTCTCAAGATAACGATTGAAAATATTTATCTCAATATCAACTGAAGTTTACCAGTGCAGAATGTGAAGCCTGTGAAAATGGCCAGCCTCTTGGGTTGGCTCTCTTTTTCATGCTTGGAGAAAGCCAGCCACAGCATCAGACCAATGGAGCCCAGTGTTGTCAGCAGGCCAGCCTGTCGGGAAACACAGCAATGAACATAAATCAGTGCAGGAAAGTCGGAAGTTGGTCACAACCCCAACATTAAAAATGGGCCCCAGACACTGTCTATTTAAATAACAGAGTAGCAACAAAAAACTGAAGATACACCTTGTATATTCTATTGATTCAATATATTCCCCATCAGTACAATCAGTGTGGTGCTTGTAATATCAATCTTTGACAATGCATGTGCTAATCATGTAAACATCTCTCCTGACCCACCTACGTCAGAATGGGGGTGGTGGGGTAACCTAATCATTGCCTAATGGTTAAAGAGTCACTCTCGTCGCCCCGAAGACCTGGATTCGATGCCCCACTTGGGTACAATGCGTGAAGCCCATTTCTGGTGTCCCCACCGTGATGTTGGAATATTGCTATAAGTGGTCTAAATTCATACCCACTCACTCACTACTTAAGAATGATAAGCAGTGTTCATCACATACTATTAAACCTACAAAGCCCATGACAATAATGGTCCTAACCTGAACAGCGGGAGGGGATTGGGTTGTTACTGAAGATGTCCTTCAAAGGAATGAAGCTTGATGTTTGCAACATGTCACATGCTTGATGATTACTTCTGACAAAATAGTTTTTTGTTTGGTTTGTTGTTTAAGACTGCACTCAGCAATATTCCAACTATATGGCTTTAGTCTGTAAATAATGGAGCCTGACCAGACAACCCAGTGAACGACAGCATGCGCATTAATCTACGCAATCTGGATACAATGACATATGTCAACCAAGTCAGTGAGTCTGACCTCTGGATTTCATTAGTCGCCTCTTACGACAAGCATGGATTACTGAGCATGATGAGTGAGTATGGTTTTACACCACTTTTAACAATATTCCAGCAATATCATGGCAGGGTTCACCAGAAATACGCTTCACACATCGTTACCAAGTGGGGAATCGAACCTGGGTCTTCAGTGTGACAAGTGGATGCATTAACCACTAGGCTACCCCACTGCCTTCACATGGGTTACTGAAGACCAATCCTAACTTGGATCTTCATGTGTCTCCGAGTAAAAAAGAATGGCAAGTAGAGCATCCGAAACCATGAAAACTGAACTGCCGTACACAAGCAAAGAACATTACTTCTTCTGTCCCAATAAGCATGACAGAAACATGACAAAGCTGTAATAGCACACTCTTGGGTGAGTGGGTGGGATCAAATTTAACATATCGTTTCAGAAACCTAAACAAGAAACAGTGATACACTCCAGAATGTACAATGAATAAGCAACTGCATAAAGATGAGATATACATATGTAATATCCATACATGTGGGATAAAGTACCATATGCCTTGCGTTGAATAATAATACCGGAAACTGCATTATTGATGACATACCTGCATGAGGCCTGTGAACAGGTGGATGTAGGCTCCGACAGCAGCCGAGATCATGCCGATGGCCAGAGAGCTGTACACATTCTTGAGATGTGTCTGGACATAGCCCTCCCTGAAACACACCCACATCATCACCATCAGCATCAGAACACAATTACGACCATACAGTTGAAACTGTTAATATCTCTACATCTGACTGAGCAGACATTCATTCCATATTATTTACTTTAGGGACAGTTTTATCTTAATTTCTTTAGCTTCCATTATTTGGGTGGAGATTAATTAATTGAATCAACCAATTAAACAACAAATAAAGATTTCTCCAAAAGTTTGACCATTTCTTTAGAAACACAAACATTTTCATGTCCACTTGCCCATTAAAGTGCCAATCCTACTGAAGGTAACAGAAATATTTTTCAAAAACAAATACAAATCCTGACCCTTCATCATTTCCATTTAAGATTTAGCATAATTTTTTTTTAAAAACATTTCCCAAAACAATTTCATACCAATTTTAAGGCCCTTCCCTGATATTCCCCTGGACGCCATAACAAAATGTAAAATCTTTAGATTTTAGGGTTGCTTCAAGGCTCCTGACCTAAAATAGTATCATCACTTGGTAACAAATTAACAATCAACATTGTTGACTACGGATGCCAGAACACTTCAGCACCTGATTAAATAATTCCAATACTGCTTGAGTTCCAACATTCTCCACACATAAAAACTTTTCTGTAGGTGATAAAGGAAGGGGCTGACATTAGACCTGACTTAAATGTAAGCTTACAACCACTTGAAACTCTAATTTAGTCTAAATGAATGTTCACCAACCATGCTGGTAAAAATATCAGATAACTGCATCCATTCATTAACTGTATCAGCAAATTAGACCACAATTATATTGTCAGGTTGCAATCTGGCAATGTTCAGTGGCCATGGTAGATAAGAATTATTTTTCTGAGAGATTAACTTGTTAAGAGCACCTTGTAACAGTAACATGTCCACTTCTCTGACTATAGATTTGAGCTGGCACTATTTTACAGTAACACTCCCAGTAGTTTCATACATTTTTCACAGTTTTCATGTTGAAGATGATGGTAATTATGCTAAGTGACCCAACATATCAAAGACATTTTTCACCACATTCCTCAGCAATCAGGGTTATTGTTTTGACAGCATATGTATAACCATGCCGATTAACTAGGACAGATCATCCAACATTCGATGTGAACAATGTTGTTATATGACCAGGTGTTAATAATATCAACATAATGGTCTAGTTTCAGGCCAATGGAAACGATAAAAATAAAGAATTGTACACCTAGGTCAACATACAGTTTGTTCCTGATGTTCAACACTTTTCAAATTTATCTTACAAATGCAATTTGTTTTAACACCTTACTGTTGAGATTTGCAGTCACAAGTTGTAATCATGCTATTGGAAACTCACATGTGTTGTCTGGCATAATAATTAATGTTTTGTAAGTTTCATTACCTTCTTATTCAGGTTGATCAAATATGTCCTAAAGCTATCATATTCATAAACATGATCATGGAGATAAATGCATGTTAGTGAGGTGGATTACTCAATGAGTCAATCACTAACATAACTAGAGTGAGTGAGTTTAGTTTTACGCCGCACTCAACAATATTCCAGCTATATGGCAGCCGTCTGTAAACAATCAAGTCTGGACCAGACAATCCAGTGATCAACAGCATGAGCATCGATCTGCTCAATATGGAACCGATGACATGTGTCAACCAAGTCAGCGAGCCTGACCACCCGACCCCGTTAGTCGCCTCTTATGACAAGCATAGTCGCCTTTTGTGGCAAGTATGGGTTGCTGAAGACCTATTCTACCCCGGATCTTCACGGGCAAGCATGACTAGAAATACTGTTAATCTTAAAGGCACAATGTCACACCACATTTGTCTAAAAATACACAATGCATTTCTCTCAATAATACTAACTATCAGCTCTCAGTAAAGCTACCATTATTCCATATAATTTATCCCAAATTTTTTTTTATGTATTTAGATTACAATATTAAATTAAAAGGTTTCAATGAATTAATGCACCGTTGCATTAAATCGACTCGTGATGCGCTATCTACTGCCAGATCATTATTTCAAGAGAATCCCACAGAGTTAAGTCTTTTGGAGAGCTCTTTACGAATATCCTATAACGCAATTGGGGCCAGTTCGGCAAACACTGACAACAGTTCGATGTATGGAACAATCGTTTACATTCCACATAAGGCAAGTGTTATCTGTTTGGAAACTGTTTGCCTCGAAGTTTCAATTATTGATTTCAGGCAAGTTGTAAGGGATAATAAGTCTTTTATTATATCAACAGGAGTGAGTGAGTGAGTTTAGTTTTACGTCGCTTTTAGCAATATTCCAGCAATATCACGGCGGGGTACACCAGAAATGGGCTTCACACATTGTACCCATGTGGGGAATTGAACCCGGGTCTTCGACGTGATGAGCGAACATTTTAACCACAAGCCTACCCACTGCCCCATATCAACAGGAAACTAAAGGGAGTGCATATGCCCCTAATATATAAAATATTGTCCAAAATGTGTGAGTCTGTGACTTTGTGCCTTTAAGATAAATGCTTCAAACAACACAAGACCTGACCCCCAGGTTAAAATGTGTCACACAATTCATGAGAAAAGCCCTACCTTTGAACATGTTGAATTTATACAAAAATCTAATCAGCTAAGGGCAACACCAAGGATCTAGACACAGAATGTCATGACTGTCAAATGTGTTTTGTCAATCAACTGAATGATCCGAGGAGTGCTATCATGATCATGTGTATACATTGAGACCAGCTGTCGCTGGACACTTTCACGATATGAGAAGTGTTTTGCTCGAGATTAATAACCTATTTTAGGTTTATTGCCATTGAATACTTTCAGTTGAATGAAATAAAAAACAAATGGTGTCCACTATTTTTCAAAATCCTCAATCATCAACAGGCACCATATCAACATGGGACTGAACTGTATAGCAAGTCTCATGTACAAATATTAAATGGTTTGGGAGTTCTGCTACCAGGAAATGAGCACAAAAGACAAAAAAATTAAAACTAATCAAAGGACAAAAATCTCAAATCAGCCATAGTAAGTTTAGGACACAGAAAACAGATGCTGAATGGTTGGATATGCTGATCACTTCATCCCCATGTTTATTAAATCTGTGACATAAAATCAATCCCTGGTAAGAACAGAAATAACAGTATATTTCATTAACATAATTAACCTCTGCAATTTTGCGATTGATGGTTGACCGACCCACCACTGTCAGCTTTCTACAATTTATAAATATATATTATTTCCTACTATATTTCAATAGGTCACTTTCAACATGTTCAAGCTGTGGACATGGTCAATAAAGAACAATCACAATATACATGCTAAAGAAATGCAATAATAGGTATGGGTGTTTGATTTCAATACTTCCCCATGTACATAGTAATAGTACACACACCGATATATCAGCTGAGGATTTGTGTGTGATTTCACAAGTTTCAATATACTTCATTTATTGAAATTATGCATCTTCTTATATAGCAACCAACATGTTCAAGAGCTTGTTCTACCTCAATTTACCTAAAACTGCAAAACAATAAATCCATTTTCAAAAGACACAAACAGTACCATGACATAAAAAGGGTAAGAGAGTATATATCCAAAAGCGAGCTGAATTCGATGTTCTGGTGATTTCGATGATTGCATTGTTCGTGCTATATCAGGGGAGTATGTACGTGATCGGAGTGCACAAACAGTTTCATTGATAGGGCGGATGCCCAGTCACTGTCATGAGAAGTTTTATTGACAATGGAAATCTGGAAGTTAAGTTATATAAAAAGCAAACAAACATCAATATTATTTACCTGAGATCATTAATACCACTTCAAATGCAAAATCAACTGCCTTTTTTTAACCAAAAATAGTGAGCAAAATTCAGAAAGATCAGTCATCTGCTGATGACAAGCAGTGAGGAGCGAAAAGTATGGCTCATCGTCGAAAACCCATACAAAATCCCCGGATGTGGCAAGTGGCAACAGTTTCGCTGATACGATGTCATCAACTGAACTCTATATTTGTAGGAAACACTTGATATTTTTGTGTGAAATAGATGAATATATCCTTATCACTCAAGGTTACTAACTGGTTAGTAAAATAAAACTGAAAATAATAATAAAGATAAAAAATACGTTTTTGTCTTACATCGTCGAAAACCCCTGACACCGGGATATGCTTACTCATGATAATGATAATTACTGTTCCATTACTGGTTTACAATATAATCAGACAGTCTTGGCTAGAACTATACCAAATCTCTATACTGTATCTATGAATATTCACTATGAAGTAAAACACGATATGAAACATGCTAAATACAGCAACACGTCATGTGATGTGTTTTTACTACGGACATTCCTACTTTCGTTCTGTCTACATGGACTTGCGATGGGAAACAGTATGCTATTATGGAGTGGTTGATACGTCATTATCTGAATATTGTAGCTATTCCTTTCATATCAAAAGTCATTCCTATTGGGTGCTCGTACAACTTCAATCAGCCCTTTACAACATCTACATAGGTTTTCCTTCCAGACTGTTCAGGATGTCAGGTGTAAATTTGTCTGACCTCGTTCGACTTCCACAGTAATAATGGTTTAATTTTCAAATGACGCTATATAAATAGGATTGTCCTTGCAAACTAAGATGTTTTATGTAATCTTTGAACCGTTACAATAGTTATAATTCACAATAATACTTACAAATGGTCAAATTTGAAGAGATGAGCTGGAAGAAATTCGTTCCTAGTCGCCATTTTTGATAGCTGGTTGCAGTCAACTCCCTCTAACGGCGCTTCATATAGAGAGAGTTATTTCCCCCTGAGGGTGTGTCACAGGGCCAACGTGTCTGAACGCCATTTGATTAATGGGTTTTGACGTATTCTCTTCTTGCATCAGAAAGGGTGACACACGGCAGCGTCATACCCTATTCATATATTATAGCGAACAGTGTGAATTAAAAATTTATCCCAAATAGCTAACGAAACGAGATAATTAAGTTTATACACGGAATGTTAATAACATGTGAGCGCTATGTCTGACACGGTTCTGGCCGCAAGAATTTCCGAGAAAACGTTTACTTATGAAGGGAAACTAAGTAAGCAAATATTTTAATCATCAAACAAAAGTGAGTCTTTTTTCTTGACAGATATCGCGACTCAACAATATTCAAAGTGAAACATCGATATCGATGCCCATTTGAAGTATCGTATCGGGATATACGACAATGTAAAACTTTGTATAGATTCACTGTATCGGCGGCCCATGGATCGATGTATCGATGCGTATCGATGAGTCGTCACACCACTAATTTAAATGTGTATATTATTGAATTGTAAAGTATAAAAAAATGTTTATTTTGACAAATAAAAACCCCAGGTATATAATGAGAGGTGGTCACTGATATAATTATAATGTTGAGCATCAGCAGCACAACCCTCTCTGCCTGTCAATCAAGAAGTGTGCAAAATAGTTTCAAAATGGTGCTAGCCAATCGGGCTAGCTATGTCTGAAAGTTACTAGCCCACAAAATAATTCACTAGCCCGAAATGTGAACGTAGACACGGGTTTCATCATTAAGCTGCTAATATGATGAACAATAATCAGGCCTTAATCTTGCATGATTTAAAAGTGTGTTATAACTTAACATGTCGGAGAGAGTGATATATTTACAAAATGACCCCATGAAAATTCACTAGCCAGTCTAGCCAGTGACTGTGGAGATCTACTGGCCCGACTTGACTTTTCGAGCCACAGGCTAGCGGGCCAGTGGCTATTTCGCACACTGCCTGTGACACCTTTGAAGACTAACGATACAGTGTATTTTATGTAATGAGTGTAGCGGTGGAATTTTCTAAAATATTCAATTCCTCACCGATTTCGTTCACATTTGAAATATATGTTAATCACAACATATAAAAACAATATAGGTTATACGATAACAAAAGTCTAGATTTTGATTTTTAAAAATTATTGGCGATATCTGTTTTGTTTGTAACAATCAAAACACGTGTCACAATTTATCCATTCTTGGTGACGCCAAAGCTGTAGCGTGTAAACAAATGGATATAGTTAGTATGTTTACCACCATAGGTGTTTAAAATCACCACCCATAGTTTGTACGTACATGAATGTAAAACCTACGAAAAATGAAGGGATTATCATAAAAAACAAAACGAATGTGACACTACGAAATATGTCGCCACAATAGCGGCAATCTATGTTACAGAACGTAAAACGCTGTGTAAAATGCATATATATCGACAAACATTTGTTTTGAATGCTCGCAAGTTTTTACTGTATATATTTTATGTACAAAAAGTGTCATCTTGGAACACATCATACCATAGATAACCGCACACAAAGGAACTCGGTCCATGGAAAATGTTGTTTTAAGCATGAAAGCTACGTTATCATTACAGAACGGAAGCATGAATAAAGACTACCTATAAAAGTGATTAGAATGATTGCTTTGCGTTTTCATAGTGTAATAAAACAGAGTGGTTAGTGCTGGTCTTCAGGAACCCATTCTTGTCCCTCGTGAAGATCTGGGTTAGTGCTGGTCTTCAGGAACCCATTCTTGTCCCCCGTGAAGATCTGGGTTAGTGCCGGTCTTCAGGAGCCAATGCTTCTCCCCCGAGAAGATATGGGTTAGTGCTGGTGATTTGGGAACCCATGATTGTCCCTGAGGGAAATCTGGGTTAGAGTTGGTCTTCAGGAACCCAGTCTTGTTACTTGTGAATAGTGGAATTGGTGGAACTACTGGGTGATGATCAATGGTTGGTGGAACTACTGGGTGATGATCAATGGTTGGTGGAAGTACTGGGTGATGATCAATGGTTGGTGGAACTACTGGGTGATGATCAATGGTTGGTGGAACTACTGGGTGATGATCAATGGTTGGTGGAACTACTGGGTGATGATCAATGGTTGGTGGAACTACTGGGTGATGATCAATGGTTGGTGGAACTACTGGGTGATGATCAATGGTTGGTGGAAGTACTGGGTGATGATCAATGGTTGGTGGAAGTACTGGGTGATGATCAATGGTTGGTGGAAGTACTGGGTGATGATCAATGGTTGGTGGAAGTACTGGGTGATGATCAATGGTTGGTGGAAGTACTACTGGGTGATGATCAATGGTTGGTGGAACTACTGGGTGATGATCAATGGTTGGTGGAAGTACTGGGTGATGATCAAATGGTTGGTGGAACTACTGGGTGATGATCAATGGTTGGTGGAACTACTGGGTGATGATCAATGGTTGGTGGAAATGGTTGGTGTACTGGGTGATGATCAATGGTTGGTGGAACTACTGGGTGATGATCAATGGTTGGTGGAATCAATGGTACTGGGTGATGATCAATGGTTGGTGGAAGTACTGGGTGATGATCAATGGTTGGTGGAAGTACTGGGTGATGATCAATGGTTGGTGGATCAATGGTTGGTGGAACTACTGTACTGGGTGATGATCAATGGTTGGTGGAAGTACTGGGTGATGATCAATGGTTGGTGGAACTACTGGGTGATGATCAATGGTTGGTGGAAGTACTGGGTGATGATCAATGGTTGGTGGAACTACTGGGTGATGATCAATGGTTGGTGGAACTACTGGGTGATGATCAATGGTTGGTGGAACTACTGGGTGATGATCAATGGTTGGTGGAACTACTGGGTGATGATCAATGGTTGGTGGAAGTACTGGGTGATGATCAATGGTTGGTGGAACTACTGGGTGATGATCAATGGTTGGTGGAACTACTGGGTGATGATCAATGGTTGGTGGAACTACTGGGTGATGATCAATGGTTGGTGGAACTACTGGGGTGATGATCAATGGTTGGTGGAACTGGGTGATGATCAATGGTTGGTGGAACTACTGGGTGATGATCAATGGTTGGTGGAACTACTGGGTGATGATCAATGGTTGGTGGAACTACTGGGTGATGATCAATACTGGGTGATGATCAATGGTTGGTGGAAGTACTGGGTGATGATCAATGGTTGGTGGAAGTACTGGGTGATGATCAATGGTTGGTGGAACTACTGGGTGATGATCAATGGTTGGTGGAACTACTGGGTGATGATCAATGGTTGGTGGAACTACTGGGTGATGATCAATAGTTGGTGGAACTACTGGGTGATGATCGATTATACAACACCAACACTTAGACATATACACATACATGTCAATACACACACAGACACATATGCGTGTGCACACACACACACATACACATATATATGGACACACATACTTACGTATGTACACATACATACACAAAGCACACAGATCGAATTATTTTGAAAAAGAAAAACAGATGAAAATACCCCTTCTCTCTCCACTCTGCCGATTTCCATCAAAGTAAAATGTTTTAGATGATATTGATTTGAATATATATAAAATATATATAAACAATTTTAAAATCTTTTAGGGCTTGGTTGAAATTTAAATAAATCAACTTCAGGAAATTGTAATCTGGATTTGGCCAAATTATCTGCAATCTCATTCCTGTGTATTCCAACATGTGCTGGGACCCAAACAATGTCGCATGTAATGTACTTCACTTTTAAAGATTTATCCAACTTTCACTTTTAAAGATTTATCCAACTTTAATATCTCATGAACAATGCCATCTCTAGATCCATTTGCACCAGCTTCTATAGCTTCTTTAAATGCTGCCTTTGTTATGCTATACAGAGTTATGTCCCCTCTTGCATTTTAATGTACAATTATTGTGTTAGGAATACATCAGGTTTCTTCATGTCAACACTTACTGATACATTTTGTGCATGAAAAGTTATTTTTAACTGTTTATTTGTAGAAATTATGAAACAACTGTATCATGAATTTGTAAACATCATCATTTTCCAATTGTCAGCTTGTCGAAGAAGTGTCTTGCCAATGTCAGTGTTGATGTTAATGATCAGCTGGTGATATGGTGTTAAGATGTTTAAAAAACCACCTGTAGTGTATGTGTAGTGTAAATGTATAATGCCTTTTCAGAGTTTTTTTTCTTAAATCAAAATGTTTCATCATACAAAGTCATAATTATGTTAATGCATGTATATGTTTTCAAGTTAAAAATGGGGCGGTGAGGTAACCTCGTGGTTAAAGCGTTTTCTTGTCACGCCAAAGACCCGGGTTACAGACATGGGTACAATGTGTAAAGCTTATTTCTGGTGTCCCCCACCGTAATATCACTGGAATATTGCTAAAATCGGCGTAAAACTGAACTCACTCATCCACTAGCTGCATTTGATGTTAATTCTCAGCTCCCTGGAGTGAGTATGTCCCAATCATCTTGTGAGGTTCAAGGACCACAGTCACATTGCATCTCCTTGGAGTATGGGCGTCTAAGATGTCGCAATTTGCTGTGTAGAGTTATATCCCTTGAGCACACCAGGAACCTATAATGGTGGGTTCAAATCAGTGTTGGGGGCAGTGGAGTAGCCTAGTTGTTTAAAGCGTACGCTCGTCACGCCAAAATATGGGTGAGATTCCCCACATGGGTACAATATGTGAATCCCATTCCAGGTGTCCTTGCCATGATATTGCTGAAATATTACTAAAAAGCGGCGGGAAACTAAACTCACTCACCCACTCAAATTCGTGTTTTCCTTGATTATGTTTGTAGGGTCATCAGCTCCACGACCTAAGTAGTGAACAATTGACACAGTTAGGCGTTCCTGTCACAATACGATGACACGCTAGTATATAACTGGAATACTCTTCCAACTGTCAAAAAACAGCACTGACGCACTCTCCATCGTCTATCAAACCTATTCACTGCTGTGTGAACGCGAGAAAATTTATTTGTT